AGAGGAAGAGGAAGAGAGCTGATGGGGGCTTTGTGGGTTGTTGAGGGGAGTTTAGGGAGGGTGGGTAAAGGGAGGAGTTGGAGTGTGTTGGAGACGAAAGTAGAGCTGAGGGAATCCATTTCCTCGTTTACTCTTACTGTATGTTCTGAGGCAAGCTCAGAGTTTCCATGGAGGATAATAGAGAGCAGGCAATAGTGGAATTTGGGGGATTATTGGCATAGCTCCCGTCTGTCTATTTTGAAGGAAAAAACGAAAACTTTCCAGGAAAATCTCACTATGGCTTGATTGGCTGAGTTCTCGTGGCGGCAGAGACGCCATGGCAAGATTCGGCCGGATCGATTGACTCGTCTAACCCGAACCCGGTCCATTGCAATTGGGCGTTCTACAACTTGTCCCAACCCAATCCTGTTAGGTAAGCCCAGCTTATCAGCTGCCTCTCTTCGGGAAAAAATCGTTTTTAACAAACAACAATGTTGATTATATATCACATGTTACATATATTTATATATATATATATATGTTTATGAGAACGTTGATTACAAATCTAATGAAATAAGTCTTGCCGTTTTGTTTATGAGAAGGTGTTTTTCTCTTTTTATGATCAGCTCCTCACTCACCCTCAAAGTCAAGTTCAAGTTAAGACGGGTTCAGATCTAATATGATAAAAGAAAGAACAGTTCAAATTTAGTTATATCAGCTCCAAACAAATTTTATTGTTCATCCGAATAGGTGAGGAAGAAACCAATTCACCATGTTTTGTTTTTATTTTTATTTTTTAAAAATTCACTCCGTCTTTTTTTTTTTTTAATTTTTTAAATAGTGAAAGAGATAAAATGAGGTTTTAACTCGTCGTGACTACTACATTTAAAAGAATTTAATCATCATAAAATATTTCATTTGTAAAAAAAAAAAAAAAAAAGCTTAATGAAACTCGTTGAGACTTAACTCAATTTGGTCCTATAGTACCACCAACAAACTAAATTATCAATTCACTAAAAAGAACTTATCGTAATTTGATCACGATAAACACTACTTATACATTAATTATTTATTTTATCCAAAAATATAATAGAATTTTCAGTCAAATATAACACCATCAATACACTAACAAAATAAGTTCTTGATCTCATTAAATCAAACACTATAATCTAATTACTGTCACCCATAATATACCCATAAAACGTCGAGTTTTATTCCCCAATGAGATTAAAATTCATGATCTTCAAATAAAACATAAAATCTTAATCATTAGACTATCATGTTGTTGCTTCACTCGTTTCACTTGATAATTTAAATTGTACAAGTACAAATTTAAGGTTTAATAAAAGTTTTAATTTAAATTAGCGGACTTTATTGGATTATGTCGGTCATATACACCAAATTAAGATGTTTATTAAACTTTAAATTGTAATGAATATTTTAAAATATGGTTATTTCGGCTTCATATTGTAACGGCCCCAGAAATTTAAAATGAAATATGTGTATTAAAAATGTCAAATACGGAAGCGAAGTCAAAATTTCGATTAACATCCTTTACACTAAAACAAAAAACGTGCTCAAAATATAAAAGATTAAACTAACTAAAGGAGAAACTCGAAAATAAAAACTGTGAATATGACTATGGAGTCTTTAGGCGTCCCCTTCGTCGTCTTCCTGCAGAACGGGCTCGAGAACAATGTCTTCCTGATCTGAAATGATTAAATAAGGAATGAGGTACACTAACCCAGTAAAGACATCACGATATCTCACCGTCACGGAGGTAAAGGTGGGTAGAAAACACAAAAAGACCAATGGAGCATAATTTACAACAAATCCTTTTATCAATAATAAAACCTTTACCATCCACTTACCTCGGTGAAAATCATAAAACCGTATATGAAAGCAGTAACATTATCATCATCATGAAATCATATAAACTGTATAACATAATACCTATCACGCCTTTTGTAATTCAATCATTACACAACATATTTTTCCTCTTTTACCAGCCTACTAGTATCCATGGGGATCTATAGGGGTCCTGCTACCCGTGGACCCTTAACACTTGTAATCAGATTCTAGGGCCGTCCCCATACCCCGTCCGGTATGGGAGCTAAAACACATAGGGTCTCCATACCCCGTCCGGTATGAGAGACCACAATCCCGGTAGGGTTCCCTACGGACCCGGTCCGTCCACCATCTTCCAGGATATCTAGTCAGGCTGATCGCATTATACAATTAACAATTTACATGACATTTTATTCCCCTTTTCCTCAGTCAGCATCATCAATTCACACACAAATAAGCAAAACAGTAATTTATGCCAAACAAGACAACATACAGCATCAGTTTCTCAGTCATTCAACCCATAATTAATAAAACAGTAAAATATGCACACGAAACAAAGAAATGAAAACATCAGACCTCATACTGCATTTAAAACTGTAAAATATGCCGAATAACAGTTAACCGACCAACACACTAGACTCGGGCTCCATTGGCGACCTTAAACAATTTCACACATTCGTTGATTCAGAATTTCCGTTTTATCATTATTGAACTTTAATACCGTGATAGGAAATAGGGTGAGGGGTCCTTACTCGTTTCGGGGTCCGAACACGGCTTCACAGTGCGCCTACAGGCTGTCCCTAATTTTTCCTGAATTTTTTTCCGAGAAACTGAAACGCACTACTGGTACCTGCACGTGTTCCAAAAAAATCCCAAATTAGGCTCAGGGCCCCTTTCGGCCAATATCATAATTCCGGCACGGCGGCTCCGCCGTGCTCCGGCGGCGGCGATTCACCTCGGGTTGGTCGTTTTTGGCCGTTTTTGGCCGAATTCGGCCACACTTGCATCGGTCCATGCGATAAAACAACCCTAGGGCCCTCGGGGGGCCAAAAAAATACGAAAAACCGAAGCTTACCGGCGGCGGTGCTCTCGGGTGCGGCGGCTCTCCGGTGAGGTTCGTGTTTTGGTGATTCGGCTCCGATCAACCTGTAGAGAAAAGAATGGTGATCACGGTGATATAAAAATTGCATCAAACGGAGGCCGGGAAGGGCCTCATTGGAGGCAAAAATCGAGGAGGGGCGCGGCGGCGCCGCTGGGTTTCGGCCGTGTTTTCCGGCCGTTTGACCGGGATTTTGGCTCCGATTTAGCCACATGGGAAATCAGCGTGGAAAAACGAGTAGGGGGTATGAAATTTACATCGATCGACGGTCGAAAATCTCCCCGGTGCAGCGGCGGGTGGCGGCGGCCGGCTTCTCCGGCATCTGGTTCGTCTTCTCCAGCGAGGGCAGGCGGCTAGGGTTTTTGTGGTCAGGTGTGGGGGTTCTATTTATACCCTTTTGCCTTTTGATCTCAGCCGTCCATTTTGATTTAATCTGGACTGTCCGTTTTTGATTGAATCTGGGCCGTCCGTGCGATTGCATCTGGGTCGTCCGTGCGCACGCTTGATCTGGGCCGTCCGATCGCGCGTACGCGGATCGCCAACGTGGCCCATCCCCGGGTCGACTTGGTCTTACCACGTGGCAGGTCCTGGTTGGCCAGGACTGCTGACTGGGCTTGCTGACGTGGCGTTTTTTTTTTTAGTAAATTTAATAAAAATAATTAATAGAAAAATTACAAAAATACCCATGTTTGGGCATTACACATATATTATTCTGTATTCAAGACAAATATTTTAATTTTGTTATATTAGCGTATTCTTTCAAAATTAGTTAAAGTTGGTAATAGTAATAGTCATGGGAGAAATTTGGAAAACATTTACATATCCTCATTAGTTATCTCTTTTGATTATTATCTCTCTCTATATTCACCTTATAGCTGAGATGTTTAAAAATTTATGTACTTGTTTCCACCTTATGAATAAGTGTTGGTATCTATCACGTCCTACCACACCCTACTCCAAAATTATGCAAAATGTTTCACGAGCATATGACTCGTGCATCTATGGTTCATTTTGATGATATGATTGTTTAGTGAAAGTTTTATATATATATATATATATATTTATTTGTTATTGTCATGTTTTCCTTATCAAATTTAAATAGCAGTTTTGTTTTATTTGTTGAAAACTCTGAAATATAATTATATCTTTTCAAATATAGTTGTGCATAAAGCTTTTGAAAGCATGTTGTTTGACTTTTATGAGGACAAATTAGAAATAGACGCTGTTAATAATCATGCTATATAAAGTTTATTTACTACACATTCATATTTTATATATGTTCTTAATTATATTGATATAGATGACCACTAATTAGTTTAATTACGAAAATTGTGACAAACATCATGTTGATCCTATATTAGTTTACTTGACGGACCATATATTTTTTAAATATAATAAATATTTATATAATAAAAATGTTTAATCTTGTATAATCATAAAACGAAATATATGACTCAAGTGAGAGATTACTGAGAAATTTCTAATTATGGGCCTATACGTTTATTATGTATTATGTGTGATAGCTAATAATTAACCTATAAAACGTTATCTAAATTATTAAAATGATTTGAGTTTTTGAGTCATATCTTAAATGATATGAATTTTGCAATGTGTAAAGATTTTATATTTTATTTTATTTTTATAATATACTACTATAAAATAAAATAATCAAGAACAGTCATAAATATGTTATAGTCCTTAGTTTAAATATAATAATTCATATACTTATGTCTCATCATTAAATGAAGCAATACATTCTTTCGGTAAAATAGATGTAAACGAATATCCACCTTAAACTATTGTGTTATTAAGGATTCATGTACTGTAATTATTGATGATTTAAAATACGATCCTAATATTTTGATTATTTTTTAACTTTTAAATATATTTATATCTCGTTATTAATTGCTCTTATAACTTAATGGACACTTATTGGTATAATTTTATAATAATATGATAAAACTTGATAGTTTGTCTTTTATTGAAGTAATAGATTATTACAATGATATTCACCTACTTAATTTGCTAGATACATTATTATTAATAATTCATTTTTGAAACATGTCCTACCTCTTATTATGAAGGATAATGAAATAATTCAATAGAATAAAATCCTAGATCTAGTGTAGTGTAGATACTAGGTAAAAACCTTGGCACACGTACAAAGTTTAGATCAAGAATCCTAACTTTTTAGAATTGGCTCCATAATAAGATGGAATAAATAAAGAGATAAAAACATGAAAGGGCTAAATATTTCTTGTATATTTTTTAATTTAATTTCATGTTATTAATTTTACAAAAAAAAAAAAAAAATTCTTTCTATTTATTTCTTTTACTTCATTAATTTATTAATGCATACAAAATTTATTATACGCATATTTAGAAGATAAGAGATATGTAATATCTCTATTGTATCCCATCTCTCATTATGTGATGTGTGCCACTAAAGGTTTGAAAATAATATTTTTTAAATTTATTATCTATTCCTTGTCTTCTTAAATAAATGTAGATAATGGTTACAATAACTTAATCACACACCGATCTATCTTAAAACTACTTTCTTATGATAGTAACTCTTTACTCTATTTGTTTTATTTATTTTTTGTGTTACTTATGTTTGTTTTCCTCCCCTATATGATGTACAAGATATAATTCCTAAGCTAGCATCTATAGTGCCTAAACATGGTCCTAATAAGAGTTCAATTTCAATCCCTTTCTCATTTAAAGTGGTCTCCTCATGTGTGTGTGTGTGTGTATGTACACATACAGACACACACACATTGACAAATGATCGTTTTGCCAAATTATCATTTTGATCCCCAAACTAAGACAAATATTTCATTTTTGTTATAAATGATTTTTTTGTTAAAAATTAGTTTTCAAATTTCTGTGTTGTCTTAAATCACTAATATTGTTTAATTTTTTAACAAAAAAT